CATTACTCTGAAATGGTTTTGGATTGAGATTCTGATAGTCACAGCTCTGGGTGTGATTACCAGGAGATATCCAACAATCTCCTGCAGCCTCCTTGAAAGATCTAGCTGCTAACCACTGTATTACTGTTGTATTTAATTAGACTGATGGAGATCATGAGGCCATCATTTCAAGACCTTCTTTTTTCTGTGATCTATAGCTTGAAATTAAAGCTCAAAAAACATTGGAAGTAACACAGCTATCACAGTTGTCTTGTCTTTGATGAGCTCTGTACAACTTCTCAATTATGTGGATGATGGTCCTGCTTGTGGCTTTTAGACTCTGATTCAACATCTCAATTAAGTACCTGATGAAGTCTGAACATGTAAGCAGTGCCACTGGTGATGATAGACTTTTCACAAAGGCTTAAGTACACAGATGAAGCAGGCCTTTTGCCACAAGGTTTAGTCTTTGCTTTAATCTCTTCAATCTTGTTTACTGTGAGACAAAATTACCACTTAAGTCAGCAGAAATCTTGCTGCAGGATGGACTGCATGAAAGGAGTTGTGATACCATGTTCAAACCACTCCTCACTGGCACTTCTCTAATGGGCTGAGCCAATGCCCAGCAGGATCAAGACAGTCACCCATCGCCCATTTCAATAGGCACTCGGGTCACGGTCCTAGGAGGAGCAACTTTGTTGAAATCAATGAAGGGACACAGGTATGAAAAGAAGCTGTCTGCAGGATTTCAAAAAGTGACGGACCTTGATTGCACTTGGAAGGGAAAAAGAAAACCCACCAAAATACTAAGGAGAAACATCAGGTCTCAGATCAGACTTGACTCATATGTTTCTATTGATTTAAATTGCTGTTCACTCTTATGTAAAATCCTTGTCAGGTTTACAGGAGCACTCCTTTACCTACTCCATGCATGGATCAATGCCTGAGCTGTTAAGGTACAAAGTCCAGTTTACATCTGGAATCTTGCATGTAATCAGTGTTTCTAATTGAATCCTTCAAATTAATGCCTATCTAGAACAATTATATCTTTATGTACCAAACTGGCTATTCACTAGTAACCTCATTCAGTATTTTCTAGCACTTACAGTGTCACACTTGCACCACAGAAGGACACCTTAAGTGAGCTGTGGCGATTTATGCAGGACTGGCTGATGAGGTCAGCACCACCTCTCTGCCCTGCCCCTTGCCAAGTGTTCTTAGCCAAGCCTGCAGAATGAGACTCTTGTATGCCCACAGCATTACTTACAAATTCAAACTGAAATTGGTAACAGTTCGCCTAATACTCAAGGTTACACACCAGCATAGCTTAAGAGCCAGCTCATATTCAGTTCTGCCACACCTGCCACAGAAGTGGTGAGATCCAGCTGAGGAAGAAAGCAGCCCAAAGGAGACTGTCATGTCCTAATGCACCTCAGAGGCATCCCTTGAGGCATGCTATGGGCACTCTAAAAATTAGCTGTGCAGTGTTTAAAGCATCAGAGTAACACAGAAACTGAACCAGTCTGCTTTGTTCCATAACCCCATCAACTCTCCTGCATCAACTAATGCTGTGCCCTAGATAAAGTACAGCTGGCAAAACAGCTGCTGGACAGGTCACAATGTCAAACATGGATTAAAACTAGGGTTAGTGATCCATACTTAACACAGAAAACAACACGTCCAAAAGGAAAGAAGCCTCTCAATCCCCCTGGATCTTGCTTTAGAGAGAACAAAAATGTTAGGAAGTTATGCAAAACAGTTTTCAAAACAAACGATACAGGAAATACATCACATGAGCACTTCAACGTAAGCATAAGGAATCATATCCGAATGGAACTGGACAAGCACTCGGGGAGTATTTTACAATCACAGGATAAAGCCACAAACTAGGATAAAACAAACATTACCATCTTTTCATTGTTCAGAACTGAGGATTTTCCCGGCTGATAGTCATAAATGCTCCTGGGCTCTGCACGGTATTTTCTGGTGTCCACCTTCTTGTCTGGAGGCTCCCAGTCAGTCCTGAGGAAAGAAAGATCAATTAACCCAAAACACTGTGGTTTCCATGGAGACAAGCACTTCCTTTTGACAGACGCCTTTCACTGTTAATCAGGGTACTTCTTTTTTAATCTAGGAAAGGAGCCTGCTGCAAGAGGAACAGTTCAGATAGGCCTCCGGGCATGTATTTGTTTATCTACAGCAGGCAGAGTTTGATATGGCTTAGCTGCTGAAACCCCTGGAGCAGAGGGGGTTTCTTCACAGAACCACAGAATGGCAGGGGTTGCAAGGGACCTCTGGAGATTATCTAGTCCAACCCCCCTGCTAAAGCAGGTTGCACAGCACTGCATCCAGGCAGGTTTTGAGTATCTCCAGGGAAGGAGATTCCACAGCCTCCCTGGGCAGCCTGTTCCAGTGCTCTGTCACCCTTAACGTAAAGAAGTTTTTCTTCATGTTGAGGCAGAACTTCCTGTGCTCCAGTTTGTGCCCGTTGCCCCTTGTCCTGTCACTGGGCACCACTGAAAAGAGACACATTCTATCAGCAAACTTTATCTCCTGATATCTGGTGGCCTGAGATGCTCACTGAATTAGCAATCTCAAATTATGGCATTGTTCATTTGAGGCAGCAAGTGAAAAACATTGAGAGCATGTGGAGTCAGTGAGGGAGG